TTTCAGACAAATGGTTATCCAATCTCTTCTTAAAATCCTCCACTGATGGACCACCCTTCTTGTGGCAAGTTGTTCCACTGGCTAATTGCTCACTTTCAGGAAGAATCTCCTTAATTCCAGGTTGCTTCTCTCCTTGATTAGTTTGCACCCATTGCTTCTTGTCCTGCCTTTTGGTGCTTTGGAGAATAGCTTGACCTCCTCTTTTTGGGGGCAGCCCCTCAAATATTGGAAGACTGCTGTCATGTCACCCCCTAGTCTTTTTCTTTCATTAAACTAGACATAACCCAATTCCGGCAACCGTTCTTCGTATGTTTTTATAGTCTCCAATCCTCTAATCATCTTGTTTGCTCTTCTCGGCGCTCTTTCCACGAGTCTCAACATCCTTTTTTTAAAAATAATATGGTGACCAAAACTGTATGCAGTCTATTAATTCGAGGGATCTCAATTCTCTCTGGCCTTTCTAATAATGGAGGAAATTTAGTTTTCCTTTCTCCTTTAGTGGGTGATGCAGTTCCCTGTTTCCTCCCCCCACCACCAAGATCAGGGAAGGATCCTAATGACGAAAAACATGGATTTAGTATTAGAATAGAACAACAGAGCTGGCAGGGACCTTGGAGGTCTTCTAGTCCAACCCCACTAAGGATGGTTCCTTATTTTGTGTCTTGAGGATCAAAGAAGCAGTGGTCCTTGAAACAGACGGTGAGAAAACAAATGCTTCTTAGTCCCATTTTCCCCAATTTGGTAGGTCCTCTATATGTTCCCCTATCCGCATGATGGTGAACCTGTGGTATGTGTGCCACAGGTGGCACGCAGAGCCATTTGTGCCGGCACACGAGCTGCAGGCAAACTTACCTCACGGCGCATGTGTGTGCCTCCCGGCCGGTTTGAGGCCCTTTTCTGCCCCCCAGAGGCTTGAGGAAGGCCTCTGCAGGCTTTGCAGGATGAAAAATAGGCCTGTTTTGTCACTTCCTGTATTTCTGGAAATACTGGAAGTGACAAAACGGGCCTATTTTTCGGCCTGCAGAGGCCTTCTCAAGCCTCCGGGAAGCAGAAAAAGGCCTCAAACCAGCCCAAAATCGGCTGTGAGGCGTCGTGCGGGGGGGGCGGGGAATTGCACGCGCGTATGCAGGGGGCGGGGTCGCGCATTGCCTTCTGGGTGCTGGCATGCAAGCGTAAGCATGTGCACAATTTTTGGCACAGGAGTCCAGAAAGGTTAGCCACCATTGCCCTATCCGTTTCAACCCTGTGTGGGAAATATATGTACCTCCTAGCCATGACTGAGGAATTCTGGGCGTCGAAGTCCTCGAGGCTTTAAAGGCCGCCCAGTTTGGAGAAGCCCCGCTATATAGGAAGAAGATCTTCTTGATCCCCTGGCCGTCCCCCAGGTGGGGATCTTTCCTGGAGATCTCATGTCAGTTCCCTGCCAAACGTCGCTCACCCGTTAACCTTTGAAATGGAAGCCGGGTCCCCAAACACAGCAAGCCAGGGTGGTTTGGCACGGATGAAAAGCCGCATGGGGAATTGGGACCGGTGGGGTGTGCGTATGCGGGGAGTGTGTGGGGGAGAGCAGCCAGCAGGTGTGCGCCTCTTGCGCATGGCGTCAGCAAGCGTGCCCCGTCTGTGCCAGGCTTCCCGCTTTCCGAAGCTCAGCAGATGCTGCCCTTTAAAAATTAATAACTTGAACTGTTTCAAGTGTCGGGCGAAGCCAAGGAGAGAGAGAAAGAGAGAGAGAGAGAGAGAGAGAGGAGGCAGCCCTCCAGGAATCTATTAACTGGGGAAGGGGGGAATGGGGGGGCAGGAAGAAGGGGGGGAAGGTTCCCTAACCCCCAGAGCTGGAGGCCTGCCCTACACACACACACACACACACACACACCCTTGATGTGACATAGTCCAAGCATCCTCTGTCTCCACTCTGCCAAATGGGGAGGAGGGGAGGAGAAGGGAGGGCAAAAATGTGATTTCACGTCCACTTGGGAGGATGAGAGTTGAGTTTACAAGGCATCGAAAGCTCACTTTAACAGCGGCCTCTTGTTTAGCAACCCAAAATTTTGGGGTTCCCATCGTGGCCGTAAGTCAAGGACTATCTCTGCCTTCCTCCGCACGGCAGCCTTGTCGTAGGAAACCCCTCCCCTTTCCTGGGAATGTTCCTTTCTGTTAGAGGCCCCAAATGGACCCCCGATGACAAAAGTTCTCCTGCTGGAGCCGGGGAGTGGGGGGTTCGGACTAGATGGCCTCAGAGGTCCCTTCCAACCCCCCCCCCCCGGATTGCTGTGCTTTTTTTCAAAAGGCACAAAGCAGGGAAGCGACCTCCTCTGCCCACCTCCGCATCCTCTTAACGCGCTTTTGGGGATCCTGTCTTTTTTTCCAAAAGGTGTCATGCCCCGGTGGAGACTGACTCTGAGGGAGAGGAGGAACAGCCAACAGGGAGTGGAAGTGTGGCTCCGGAGGTTGTGGAGGAGGCTGGGGAAGGGCAGAGGCCGGCTGGGCAGACAGAGAAGGGCCCAGGCCCATCCCCTCTCCATCCTAGGGCACGCAGGGAGGAGAGGATAAGGGAGAGACGTGGTCTATGGGGGAGGAGAGGGCCTTGATCCCCTTCAATGGGCTGCTGCTGTGACAACTGAATAAGAGGATGGACCTGCGTACTGGCGAAAGCTGGAAACAAAGCGTGGAAATATCTCTAGTTTATGGTTCCTCTCTGAGTTTGGCGTCCTTCCCAGTGTGTGTTATTTGTGAACATCCTCCAGCCCTTATCTTGTCTGGTTCGTGTTGCTTTTTTCCTTCTCCGTGTAACTGTTTGTGCGGGAGTTTTTTTGGTCTTCCGTCAAAGGTATTCAGAGCTTGGAAGCAAAGTGAAGGAATAAAAGAGGCTTCCCCTTGTTTTCTGTGGCTGTGTTTGTTTTGTATCCCACCCTGGGTCATCACAAAAGGTCTGTTTTTATCTCTTATCCCTTCCTTCCTTCTCCCCCCCCCCCCGCTTTTTGCTCCAGATATCTCCTTTTTTCCCCTTCCCTCTCTCTCTCTCTCTCTCTCTCTCTCTCTCTTTCTTTCTCTCTCTCAGACGGCGGGTGGACATCTCTTCCTGCGCTATTTGCAAATGCCATAGGTGAAACTTTATTAAGTTTTTTTTTTGCAGCCATTCTACCTGCTCACCTGATTTTTTCGTTCCTTTCCTTTTTTTGGAAGGTTGTCTTGTCAAACCTGGGCAGGAAGTCCTCGACTCAACAATGGTTCGTTTAGCGACCTTCTGAAGTTACAACGGCCCTATACTTACGACCATTGCGGCATCACATGATTCCCATTCAGATGCTTGACAATTGTCTCAGATTTATGACCGGTGGCATTCTTTGGTCCAGTCAGATCTAGAAACTAGACATTCATTGATCCGAAATGGTACTGTAGGGTCTCCTTCATGAGCAAGGGGTTGGACTAGATGATCTCCAAGGTCCTTCCCAGCTCTATTCTAATTCTGATTGAAACCTTACTCTGCTTCTCAGTGGGGCTGTAGCACAGGTTACCAGGCGTTGTTTCATGCTGCAGGTACATTTGATCAAAAAAAGCACTATCCCCCGGGAGGGGTGCTAGAAAATCCAGCCTCCTGGACATCTGGAGATTTAGTTAGGGTTGATTAAGAAAAAGGCAGGTCCTGTCCCTCATGATTCTTCATGATTTGAAAATCCAATTCGAGGCTTGAAGTCACCACCAAGATAAAGTTGTGCAGTTCTTCTGAACTGCAGCTTTGTATTTTGAGGATTCTTCCTCTCAGCATCTCAGTGGGATCTTTGGGGTGGTCAATAATATCTTGGAGCCGGAGAGGACCTAAAACTGAGTGGCCCAACCAAGGTTGTTTCCCCCACCCCACCGCAAGTCCACGTACAAATTCAGCCATGGTGACCAAAACCGGATGCAGCATTCCAGGTGGGGCCTTACTAAGGCTTTACTAAAGCGGTACTCATGACTTTACGTGATTTTGAGGCTGTGCCTCTACTTTCAAGGGTCTTCAAACTTGGTCAGTTTAAGACTTGTGGACCTTGACTCCCAGAACCCCTGAGCTAACATGACTGGAGGAGGAATTCTGGGAGTCGAAGTCCACAAGTCTTAAAAGCTGTCAAGTTTGAAGACTTCCTGCTCTAGTAGTAGCTATTGGAGCTGCTGCTGCACACGGCTGGCTCATATTTAAGGGATCATCCATTAGGAGTCCCTCTCCCGGTTACTGTTTTCGAGCCAGATTTCCCCTAATCCAGTGGTGACTAACCTTTTTGGGCTTCTGTGCCAAAAACTCTGCGCACGCTTACATGCCAGCACCCAGAAGGCAATGCACGCCCCACCCCCGCACTCCCCACGCATGCGTGCGCAATTCCCCACCACCACCTGCTTACCTGCACTGCGCCTCCCAGCTGATTTTCGGCTGGTTTGAGGCCTTTTTCCTCCTCCCAGTGGCTTCAGGAAGGCCTCTGCAGGCTTTGCAGGCCGAAAAATAGGCCCGTTTTCGTCACTTCCGGTATTTCCGGAAATACAGGAAGTGACGAAAACGGGCCTATTTTTCAGCCTGCAAAGCCTTCAGAGGCCTTCCTCAAGCCACTGGGAGGCCGAAAAAAAGGCCTCAAACCCGCCGAAAATCAGCTGGGAGGCGTGCGCATGCCGCAGTGAGGTAAGTTTGCCTGCAGCTTGCGTGTCGACCCACATGGGCTTTGTTGGCCATCACAACCCTCCTCTGTACTTGTACCTTCGGTCCATAAGGAGGTGAGAAATGCAGTGGGAATAGGGTGCCCTCTGCCCCTCCTGGCATAGGAACGCTACGCCTGGAGATTGCAACCACTCGGTGGCGTCAATTGCCGTTTCGTGTCAATTCCTCTGAGCCCAAACCCGGGACTCCAACTCTTCTGCAAGCTGCTTTGAAACGGACCGGTGTCTAACGGAGGGGATGGGTGGGGAAGGGGAAGCCACGGCCCGTTTTATTCCCGACCTACGTAACCTCCTCCCTTCCTTCTTCCTACGCCCAGGTTTTCCGGCAGCCAGCACTGCGGGCATATCCACTGTGCGTACCAGTATCGGGAGCATTACCACTGCCTTGATCCAGAGTGCAACTACCAGGTAAAAGAGCATATACCATAATAAATAAAATAAATAAAAGAACCCCAGGGGAGGCTTCAGAAAGCAGCTCTAAAAGTGTGTGTGTTGGTGGCGGGGCAGGGAAACGAAGACTTAAATAATCTTCTCATAGAATAACAAGAGTTGGAAGGGACCTTTGGAGGTCATCTAGTCCAACTCCCTGCTCGAGCAGGAGAATCTGTTCCAAACATGAGGATTGAACTCCTAAATCTGGTGCAGTGGAACCCCGACTGGAGACTCGATTGCAGGAAGTACGACTTCAGCAACAGAGGGGTCAAGGCCTGGAACGCACTCCCTGACTCTGTTGTTACATCCTCTAACTAACCCCCACCCCTTTAACCTTAAACCATCCACCATTGACCTCACCCCTTTCCTAAGAGGTCTGTAAGGGGCGAGCATAAGCGCACCAACGTGCCTACCGTCCCTGTCCTATTGTCCCCATTGATTCAAACATATTTCCTGTATTCTTACTCATGTTTATACTTATACCTATTATCTTGTAAGTGATTGACAAATCAAATGAAGGAAGGAAGGAAGGAAGGAAGAAAAGAAAGAAAGAAAAAGAAAGGAAGGAAGGAAGGAAGGAAGGAAGGAAGGAAGGAAGGAAGGAAGGAAGGAAGGAGAATATTTTTGTAGCTCAGGGTTAACATGAGGAGTCCTTGGTGCTCTATGAGGTTGATTGTTTTCTTGCAGATGTTTCATTACCTAACTAGGTAACATCATCCGTGCTAGTATCAAGGGGAGAGGGTGGGGGAGGAAGGAAGGATATTTGTAGCTCAGGATTAACCTCATAAGTACTATTAACAGGGAGGGAGGAAGGAAGGAAGGAAGGAGAAAGGGAAGGAGGGAAGGAAGGAAGGAGAGATGGAAGGGATGGGACCAATGGAAGGGAGGAAGGAAGGAGAGAAGGGTTGACAGAAGGGGTCCTTGGTGTTCTCTGAGCTTGGTTGTTTTCTTGCAGACGTTTCATGGCCCCAATTAGGTAACATCATCAGTGCTAGTGGCAAAGGGAAGGGAAGGAGGGAGGGAAGGAAGGAAGGAAAAAAGGAAAGAAGAGAAAGAAAATGAAAAGAAAGAAAGTATCTGCCCCAAGAGCCGTCGTTTGAGGACCCCTGATTTTAATGCAATATTTTTAAAAAAATGCAAATAATTTTTCTTGCGAACCACCAACATTTTCTCGCCAACCACCAGTGGTCCATGGACCACCAGTTGGTGGCCGTTTCCCCCGGGACACAGAACCCCCAGGTGACCTTCAGTAGCCACTGGGTTGGAGGAAATTGGAAGAGAAGCAGGATGTGGAGGAAGGGACAGAAATTGGAAGGGCCCCGGCCGGGAGAGCTGCCAAAGACACCCTTGTCAAGCCGGCTCCTCCGTTGTCACATGCTGCATTTGTTTACCCTCCAATTCACAGGGTTGGCTTTGACACTTTATTGTGTGTGTGTGGTCAGCCCCCCCTTTCTCTCCCCTCCCCGCCCGGATCCTTAAGGCTGTGGCTGTATGATCGACGGGATTCCCAGGAATAGCTGCCACGGATTTCTTCCCTGGCGCTCTCCAGAATCTGCAATTGCGGAGCGGGGGAAGAGGGGGAACTGGCTTTGTCCCCCCCACCTCCAGCCTGAGAGGCTGTGGATGGCAGTGAGGATGTGGGAAGCCAGGCACACGCAGGGAGAAGTGTGTCTCCAAAGCCCCTGAAGGCAAGAGAAGAAATAGCAGATGGAAACTAACCAAGGAGAGAAGCTAGTTGGAATGAAACAGAAACTTCCTAACGGTGAAGACGATTAACCAGGGGAACTACTTGCCACCAGAGGCTGTGGGTGCTCCCATCACTGGAGGCTTCTAAGAAGAGAACTGGACAACCACTTGTCTGGAATCGTGTAGGGCAGTGATGGATAACCTTTTCAGCACCAAGTGCCCAAAGTGCACCTTTGCGCAAACCCCCAAAAGGCAATGCGCAAGTGCCCCACACACACACATGTGCCCTGCCCCTATGCATGCGCCCCACCTCCCCACGCATGCATTGCAGAGACTCGGTCGGCAGGAAGTGTGCACGCCTTCATGGTGGAGCTGAGCTAGTGCGACAGCTCGCATGTCCGCAGAGAAGGCCTTCAAATACAAACTCAGGATACTGGAATGTCCATGAGGCTGGAGTTTCAAAATGTCTTTGCCTTCTGCAAAGTATGTTCCTTTCACAGCTGGTTTTTATCTGCTTGAAGGAGGGGCCATTACCTTGCAGCCTTACTCTTGAGTCGCCCGTGCTGCTGCAGCTGCTCTTTCCTACAAGCTATCCTGCGTATATGTGCACTTGGCACAGGCTCCTCGGGAACCTCCTCATCACTGCTGCCAGCCCTTCCCAATCTCTGAAGGCAGCAGCCCACTCCCTAATGGTCCTGGCCCCTCATCCGAGTCCTCGCTCTCCTCAGCCGTCCGCATCTGCTGCCAGTGAACCACAACAAATAGCTCTTAAGGAGCAGAGAGTTGGGGGGTGAAGAAAAGGCCCCTGCTTCAAGAAAAGATTGACCCCCACGAGAGTGTAAAGCTTTGCTGTGGTTTTCGGATGGTTCTAGAGCAGAGCTATCCAACCTCGGCTTGTGGACTTCAACTCCCAGCATTCCCCAGCCCGCCAAGTCTTTGACTTTAAGCCTTAAAGTTGCCACCCCTGCTTTAAAAACGCTCTGGAATAAGTGGCTGCAGATTATTAGCAGGATGTGGCCACAGCATTCCAGGGAAATTGCTCCTCGGAGCTTCCTTGCCGCTCCTGTGTGTATATCCCCAAGTTTAATCAAAGTGATAGAGCCAGATGAAGATTTATTCCTCCTTTTGACGAAGGAAGGGTTGGAGGAAGGGGCGAGAGGCGCAACTCCCCATCTGGATTTTGAAGCAATCACGCTCAGAAATTCCACCTCCATCCCAGCAGCTGAACTCACTCCTCTGTGCCTGTGCCTTTGATGAGCGGTCAAGTTTGGGAGGATCTGGCCTTGAGCGGGTGCCCACACCCCAGTTGCTCCCTGTTTCTGCAGGTTCGGCCATCTTGGCAGTCCTTCTCATCAGGCCTTTTACTTTCAAAAGAGAATTAATCACTTACGTCCTGTAAATTAAGTTGGTACTGGAAAGGAACCCAAGAGTAGGTTTGCTAACCTGTCGGTGCCATCAAACTGGATTCAAACCATGCAGGTTTAGCATATCGCACGCATGCAGAGGCTACATTTCTAGCTGATTTTGGGTTCTAAGCATGTTCTGTGAACTCAGCCTGGCTTTGGCAAGGGTTTCTTTTCAGCACATGTCCCAAATGCACCGCCGTATAAGTATGAACATAACATAAACATAGAAGTATAAACGGGTTATAAGTATATACAGGATACATGAGTACGAATAAATGGGAACGATAGGACAGGGACAGTGAGGATGCTGGTGCACTTATGCACGGCCCCTTACAGACCTTTTAGGAATGGAGTGAGGCCCACAGTAGACAGTTTAAGGTTAAAAGTTTTGGGGGTTTGAGGATGTAACAACAGAGTCAGGTAGTGGGTTCCAGGCATTGACCCCTCTGTTGCTGAAGTCATATTTTCTGCAATCGAGTTTGGAGCGGTTTACTTTGAGTTTGCATCTGTTGTTTGCCTGTGTGTTATTGCGGTTGAAGCTGAAGTCGTCTTTGACGGGTAGGATGTTGTAGCAGACAATTTTGTGCACTAAGCTTAGGTCAGATGGTTAGGCAGCGTAGTTCTAGGTTGTACTTCAAGCCTGGTGGTGTAGGGTATTCTATTGCGAGCAGAGGAGTGGAGGACTCTTCTCATGAAATACCTCTGGACTCGCTCAATCCGTTATACAGTGTGGATTCCAGGCAGATGAGCCGTATTCGAGAATTGGTCTGGTGAAGATTTTGTTTTCTAGAAGTTGTACCTATCCATCTCTGGGACCTTCCTCCCCTCCCACTCCTCACCTTCTGCTTCTCCCTCTCCCCCCTCAGAGGTTCACCAGTAAGCAGGATGTCATCCGGCATTACAACATGCACAAGAAGCGGGACAACTCCTTGCAGCACGGCTTCATGCGGTTCAGCCCCCTGGACGACTGCAGCGTCTACTATCACGGTTGCCACCTCAATGGGAAAAGCACACATTACCACTGCATGCAGGTAAATGGCCAGCTTGGGACGGCCAAGGATCAGGGCCAACAACGGGTTCCATCCCCGCCGAAACCGAGACTTTATTTTGGGGGGGAGATAATCCCCTTTTCTGCAGATCGACATCATGCAACGGGATGCGTTTTTCCAGAAGGGATAACTGGTGGGTTTTTCCTTTGAGTTCCTCCCACCCCCTCACAAGGCCGTGGTGAGATATACCAGTTTGACCTGGTTCACCCGATCTGGTAGTAAAGAAACAAGGTCCAATGATCAGCTTAGAGCAGCGGTGGCTAACCTGTCCGTCCTCATGTGACAACACTCATAAGGCAATGCACGCGCCCCCACCGTTCTCCCTGCGCATAGACGCACTATCCCTATGCACACCACCATACGTCTCTGCGCGCTGCATGTTTCTATGCATGTGTGTGTGCCCACCTGCACGCCTTGCACCTTTCTGTGCATGCGTGTACATCTCCCCTGGTTGGGGGAGGGAGAAGTGGCCTGAGAGCAGAGCTGAACCTTCCTTAGGATTGAAGCTTCTATTTTTCAGTGCAGACTCAGGCAGCAGATTGCAGAGAGGTAGATCTCTGAATGAATCTGTGATTCTGCAAGCGGCTCAATCTGCCTGCCTGCTTTGCCTGATTTGGGGTAAAAGTTGCTCGTTTTTGAAAATAAAAAATTCAATCTTTGCATATATATTTACAATATTTACATACAAGCCGTGCCCAGCCAGTCACATGACCACCAAAGCCACACCCACAAATAAGGCCATGCCCACAGAACCGGTTGTTAAGAAATTTGAATCCCACCCCTGGGGAGTATGGCACTCCGGGCACCTCTCAGCGAGAGGCCTCCTCCTCCTCCTCAACTCAGACCTTACTCTCTGTCGAGGGGGAGGTGACCTCGCGGTGCTAAGAGCCGGCTGCTCTTTCGCTCCAGGTTGCTTCCTTCGTGGCCGGATTGCTGCGCCCATCAAATATTAAATAGCAGCTCAGGTTCAGAGACAAGATCAGAGGGAGGGAGCGTTTGATGGGAAGTTTGGTTTTGGTTCAACCCCGAGCGGAGAACTTGAATCCTTTCCGATTCCTCCTGGGCTGGCAGCCATTTTTGTCCACGGCGAGTTAAGCAGCTGGGACAGATGTCGCCGGCCTGGCCGTACGATTAGGAATTCAGCTGCTGGGACTGAAGTGAGTTTGGGATTTGCACCTGGCCCTGGGTCGCTCTATCCGCATCCACTCCAGCCGCTGCAGCCGCGGTAATTCAAGTGGTCCTCGACTTAACGACCACGATGAAGCCCACAATTTCTGTTTGCGGCCAACTCCCAGAGTCACGTGTTCTCCTTTTGCGACCTTCTGACAAGTAAAATGGGGGGGAGGCAGATTGGCTTTGACACCACGGCTTTGGCTCCCTTTTTGAACAACGGCGCTCAACCTCCCCGCCATTAAGCAAGACCTTCGTTAAGTGAGCCTGGTCCCATTTTACCACCCTTTTCTTGTTCCGGTGATGAAGCGAATCTCAGCAGTTCAGTTATAGTAGACCTGGTCGTTAAGCGAATCTGGCTTCCTACTCGTCAGAAGGTCTCAGAAGCGGGGGGGGGCGGGGAGGAAATCACACGACCTCGGGACCCAATGCCGGTCGTAAGTACGAGGTCAGCGAATTGGGATCGCCCAATCCTACGGACACTTCCCAAGGTCCTCACTCTGAAAAACGGTCACAAGTCAACCTTTTTCAGTGCCGCTGTGACATTGGACGGTCGCTAAACAAACTTCGTTGTAAGGCGAGGACTCCCAAGAGGCTTTCCTCCGCTTAAAGAGAGAGAGAAAGGCTGCGGACCAGCAAGCGGCACTTCTGGAGCGAAGGAATTTCTCTGGAAGGGAGGCCGACGTGGAAAGCCTTGAAGGGTTTGGAAGCCAGTATCCATCTTAATGGGAGGGCAAAACATGGTGTCACAACATTGCAAATTCCCCCATTGGAGAGCCAATAGAGTCAAGATCAGGTGAAGTGTTGATACCGCTTTATAAGGCCTCGGTAGGACCATGCTTGGAAATACGGCATCCGGTTTAGCCATGATGTAAAAAAAAAAAAAAAAAAAAGAGGTTAAAACCAGAGATAGGATCCAGATTTTTTTTTTTTTACAACGGGTTCTGTGGGCGTGGCTTGGTGGGCGTGGCAGGGGAAGGATATACTGTCAAATCCCCCTTCCCTCCCCACCCCCCCACCCTGCTTTCCAGGCTCAAACCTACGAAGAACAGTTGCAGGAACTGGGGACGTTCCACTTTGATGAAAAGAAGGACCAGGGGTGACGTGAGAGCAGTCTTCCAATATCTCAGGGGCTTCCACAAGAGTGTGTGAAGCTGTTCTCCAAAGCAGGGGTCTCCAACCTCGGGCAACTTTAAAAATTGTGGACTTCAACTCCCAGAATTCCTCAGCCAGCAAAGAGTTTGAAGTCCACAAGCCTTAAAGTTGCCACGGTTGGAGACCCTTGCCCCAAAGCACCAAAAGGCAGGACAAGAAGCAATGGGTTGGACACTAACCAAGGAGAGAACCAACGTAGAACTAAGGAGAAATTCCCTGAAAGTTGGGAACATTTAACCAGTGGAACAACTCGCCTCCAGAAGTTGAGGATGCTCCAACACTGATGGTTTTTAAGAAGAGATTCGACCACCCTTTGCCTGAAGTGCTGTAGGGTTGCCTGCCTAAGCAGGGGGTTGGACTAGAAGACCTCCAAGGTCCCTTCCAAACTCTGGTTATTCTAAACCTCTTAAATAGCAGCATTTGGCCTCAACAAGCCTCTCTGCGAAGGCCCTTCCCCTTTTTCATGTCCATAATTGGCCTGGACCAAAAAGCAGTTAGTTGTTTATATCAATGAGACATTTTTCATGCTTTAACCACAATTAGACCTATTGCAAATTATTCACCAGGAGTTGTGTGTGTGTGTGTGTTTAATTTCTTCTTTTAACGCCATTCTGGGTCTGTCTTTTTTCAAGGTGTCAGTGGTGGATGGGGGAAGAGGCCCTTATTAGATTGGAAGTAGTTTCAGAATAGCTGCACACACACACACACACACACACACACACACACACACCTCTCTCTCTCTCTCTCTCTCTCTCTCCTCTCTCTCTCTCTGTCTCTCTCTCTCTCTCTCTCTTTGTCAGATGCTTTTCTCTCCACCCAAGGTGAACTTGTGTGTGCCTGTGTGTGTGTGTGTGTGTTTGGCTTGCTTCAACTTCTGAACATCTGAGAAGGTACAGGCGTTGGCACCGGAGCCTCAGAATGAGGTAGAGAAAGCAGGGGCGTTCTCCCTCTCTCTTCCTCTCTCTCTCTCTCTCTCTCTCTCTCTCTCTCTCTCTCTCTCTCTCTCTCTCTCTCATCGGGCACATTGGTGTTGTCAGATTCTCCTGGAATTTTACTCAATATGGCAAGTTTGCCCCGAGCTGGGAAGAGAGAGAGAGAGAGAGAGACGTCCTGCATTCCTGCTTCCCTTCTGCAAGACATGGGCAGCCTTAAAACCAAGCCAGTCCCTGGCCGGGTCCTTCTGCTAGTCCAGACCCCAGTCCCAATAACGGAGAGGGTTGTAGGCTGAAAGAGACACCAGCTCATTTCCCCACTTTATATGAGCGATTATTGTTTTCCAAGTGAATTCCCACCTCTCCTCTCCTCTCTCCCCTGCCCTCTTCCCCTCCTCTCTTCCCTTCTTTCCTTTCCCTTCCCTTCCCTCCTCTCTTCCCTTCCTTTCCCCTTCCTTCCCCTCCTCTCTTCTCCTCCCTTCCCTCCTTCCTTTCCTTCCATGCTGGCTGGGGAATTCTGGGAGTTGAAGTCCACAAGTCTTAAAGTGGCCAAGTTTGGGGACCCCTAGCCCCTGCACCATTTGAGACAAAGGGTTGTCCAAAAACACTTCCAGGGTTGGAGAATTCACAACCTCTGGAAAGCAAAGCTGTTCCACAGATCAAGTTGTTGTCAGTGTCAGGAAAACTCTGCAGCTTCCTGACTTTAGTTGCCGTGGTTTTCCCCTCCCTTCCTCAGGTGGGTTGCAACAAGGTCTACACCAGCACTTCCGACGTAATGACCCACGAAAACTTCCACAAGAAGAACACGCAGCTGATCAACGACGGCTTCCAGCGGTTCCGGGCCACGGAAGACTGCGGCACGGTGGACTGCCAGTTCTATGGGCAGAAGACCACCCACTTCCACTGCAGGTGGGCACGGGGGCGAGAGGAAAAAAAGGTTCTCGCTGGGTAGGTGGGCATCCCTTAACCTTCCGTACGTTTTTTTTTTCCTCCCCCTCCGTGCGAGAGCTCTGCCCAGCATCGGTTAGGACTGAGGCAGGAAAACATTTGATGGGCTGTGGACAAGGCCTTGCCTTCCCTTGGCTGTATCGGGGGAAAGGACAGCTCATGGTGATCCGTCTAGGTCAGGTGTCGGCAACCGGAGGCTCTGGAGCCGCATGTGGATCTTTGGGCCCTCTGCTGTGACTCCCTGTTGAATGATCCCAGCACTGACTGGCCCCGCCCCACCTGCCCTCCCAGTCACTCCTCGCCTGGCCTGAGAAAGTAAAACACAAAAAACAGAAATGAGAGGGAGGGAGAGAGACCCATTTTCCACAAAAAAAGAAAACACCGGGAGCCACAAAACTTGGGTAGGCGTGGCAGAGCGGGGTCATGTAACTGGGTAGGAATGACAAGTTGGCCATGCCCACCCAGGTTTTGTGGCTCCCAATGTTTTCTGATGGCTCTAGGAGTGTTGAAGGTTGCAAACCCCTGATCTCGGTGATTCGTGGCTCCCAACCTTTGGGGCACCAGGGACCAGTTCCGTGGAGGGAGATTTTTCCATGGACCGGAGGGGTGTGTGGTTTCACGTGCTGCCAACCTCCCACAGATGGGGCTTTGCTTGTTTGCTCAGAGCGGTTTCAGGCATGTTGTGGCCCGTTGCTGGTCCATAGACCGGGGGTTGTTCTAGGCCCAAGATCTGAGGAAGATTAGTGGTCATATTTGCGTTGTCCTCGGACGACAGTTGGGGCCTTTCAGTATCCTTGGCTCTGATGCGTCTTGCTTGCTCGAAGGTGCACCTCTCGGAGGCCCAGAAATGTGTCCGTGCATTATTGCTGGAGGTTGGAGCCCACAGGTTTTAGAAGTGGGGCCAAAGAAGGAAAGTCCAGATAATTTCAGGAAATAGATGGGTGAATTGCCCCTTGTCTCCGAAGAGGCTCGTGTCCTGACTTCCTGCTTGGCTGGCAGGCCTCAGTTCAACCCCTAGCGCGGAGTTCTCCAAACTTTCTGACTTTGCGGGCCAGTGGGGGGAGGAGGGGAGAGGGAATGGTTCCGGGCGAGAGGCAGGCAAGCATGCACCCACAAACCCTCCATTTGCACGAACGGCAAGCGTGCTCACCGCTCACACAAATGGACCATGCATGCACATGCGCTCCCCTGCTGCTTGGGCAAAGGAGAAGGGTACACGGGTGTGTCCTTGATGCATCAGGCGGCCCAGTTCTGAACAGCCCGAAGCCCAGTCGCGGACCGCAGCCCAGCGGGTTGGGGACCCCAATTCTAGTGAATTTCTGCCTGAAATGCTGCAGAGCCGAGATCCCAAATCAGAACACACTCAGCTGCCCGGCCTCTAGCTCTGAGGGATCGACCACTTTGAGGGCGGGGGAGTTTCACCATCCCGCGGGGCCAGGCAAGTGAAAGGGCTCTTCCTGGGCCTGACCCCTCCTTTGCTCTCTCGCAGGCGGCCCGGTTGCACCTTCACCTTCAAGAACAAGTGCGACATCGAGAAGCACAAGAGCTACCACATCAAGGACGACGCCTACGCCAAGGACGGCTTCAAGAAGTTCTACAAGTACGAGGAGTGCAAGTACGAGGGCTGCGTTTACAGCAAGGCCACCAACCACTTCCACTGCATCCGCCCCGGCTGCGGCTTCACTTTCACCTCCACCAGCCAGATGACCTCGCACAAGCGCAAACATGAGCGCCGGCACATCCGCAGCTCGGGCATGCTGGGCTTGCCCGCCTCGCTGCTGGGCGCCAAGGAGAACGAGCAGGAGGAGTCCAGCAATGACGACCTGATCGACTTCTCTGCCATGAGCTCCAAGAACTCCAGCCTGAGTGCCTCCCCCACCAGTCAGCAGTCTTCCGTCTCCCTGATCGTGCCGGGCACCCCCTCCACCTCAGCCACAGAGCTGGCCGCCTCGCAAGCCACCAGCAAACCCGCCGGCAACATACCCTCGGCTTCCAAGATGCCCGTCCTGCTGTCTCAAGCTCTCCCAAGCAATATCCCTTTGGGCCTGGCGCTGCCCAACGCGGCTGTTCCGGGAACGGCCAGCTCTTACTTCCCCATGCTCCCCGGCCGGGTCTCGGCCCAACTGCCCACCAGTTCCAGCAGTTTGCTAGCCGCTGGCACGCCGAGTACCAATCCGGCGTCTTCCGCCGGTTCCCCTTCCCCGGCCCTCTCGGGTTCCGGCGAGGGGGCGGCCACCTCTTCACCGACTCCAGCGGCCTCCATCATGGAGAAGATCTCGGCCAGCAAAGGGTTGATTTCGCCCATGATGGCTCGGTTAGCGGCGGCGGCTCTGAAGTCCTCCATGACAGAAGCAGGTGAGTCACTCTCTTCCTTGGACTAGTTCATGGGAGAAATTCCAAAAGGGGAAGTGATCCAGCGTGTCCTCTCCCATGGAGAAGAAGGAGGGATCCCCTGCCATTAAGCCAAGATCTGAAGATCCACATTTTGGGCAGCTTACAAGTAGCCCTTCTGCCGGACTGAATTTTTTTTCCCAACCTTTCAAGTCCAGTTTGGCACAGGAGGAAAAATAGCTAATTTCTCAGGAAGCCTTTTATTCTTCACATTATTTTTTTTAAAAAAACAGGGCAATCGGGGAGGGGCAAATCTTCCTTAACAAGGGAGAGTGGCCATTGATGGATCTATTTCGACCCCACCTCCCTTTATTTATTTATTTATTTATTTAATAAAAAGCCACTTGCTGTCGGCGTAGCAGTTCCCCATCAGCCGAAGTGCCTCTGGGCAAATTAATATTTTAGCGTAGTTGCGAGAAGCTCAGCGGACACATTGCCGTCAGCAACTTTCCCCTGTCGTGGTTTAAGCCATCCCCGCGTGCAGGGAGGGTCCTTCTCCTTGCCTTCGCTCAGGGGTATGGGTGTGGGGGGGTCTCAGCCTCCTTTTGGGGACCCCCCCCTCTTTGCCAAACGAGAGTCGGCGGTTTGATGCCAAGGAGGAGCTGGGGGTAGGCGGCCGCTCGTTCGAGACCCCACGTTTGGGGCCGAGGGGTGGGGGGGGAGTCAGGCGGGTTTGGAACCAATGGGATTGGGTGTCATTTTCGATCGAGCTGACATGGCAGACATGTTCCTTCTGGGCATGCTCGGTGGAGAGGCCGGTGCCAGTCACCAAGGCAACATGGAGGCCGGGGACTGGGAAGGGGCTCGACTCGCGGTCCAGAGCTGCCACATTCCCTCAACGTTTAACGGCATCTTTAATAAACGTTTAAGAGGCAGCCCCACAAATGAGTTATGACAGCTGGCGCAGAGCATCCGATCTTCCCCCTCGCTCTCCTTCCGTCCTTCTCCTTTAAAAGAGCCCACAGCTTGGACAACTTTGACATAATTTTTGCAATAATTATCACTTGAAGAATTTCCACACCAGGGATGGACGTCAAACCCCATCACGTCAGCCTGGCAATAAATGCTGACCAGCCAACCCGGCCTCTCTCTCTTCCTCGCACGGCCTGGGTGCAGGGCGGAGGGTTGTTTTCTGTATGTGTGTGTTTGTGTGTGTGTGTGTGTGATTTTAAACCAATGCATTATTTCTTAACGGCTGAGCTTTATTGTGGGTTGATTTCCTATTATTATTACCTTTATTGTCAGAGTACAACGTGTCTACAATAACGTTGGCTGAGGCTCCCTTCGTGCACACACACACACCCCCAACACAACTCACTTTTCTATTACTTTATTTAGTGACACATTTTGGGTCTCTCTCTCCTTTCCCTCCCCTCCCCACTTTTCCTCTTTCACGCATGCAGGAAACGGGCAGCCCATAACACCTGGACGGTTCAACCCAACGCAGGTGAAGTCCGAGGTGGCTGAGAATCCTGGCTCGGGACCCACCGCAGCCCAGGACTCCTTGCAGGAGCACAGCTTGGACCTTAGAATGAAAGATCATGGGTAAGAAAGGGTGGGGCCCCTCCCCAGCAGAGGAGAACCAAACAAACCAATTTGGGGACACCTGGCCCCCAAAACCCTTGTTGTTGGACCAAGACAGCTGGAG